GTGCTTTCAGCACCAGGTTTATTGGTCGCAGTGACTTGGGTTGGTTTCCAAAGTAATTTTTCCGCAGAGAGCAGCTCAAGGGTTTGGTCATTCCTTGCAACCCTTCAGAAGGGGCTGATTTTCCGACGGTGTCTTGCCTGGAGAGCACCGTAAGCATCCCCAGTTTGGGCGTGTGGGCTCTTTAGCCGGTTTAGAAGACAGACCTCTGTGTAGCTGCGATGTTCGCTGGTCGTCTTCTGCTGCCAGGGAAGGGAAAGCAGTTTGCTCCCAACTCCTTGGGGAGATTTTGGTATCAGAGGTACAATGGAGCCAGCCCTGCACAGTGGGGATACGGGGGGACTCTGTGCCCGTCGTCAAGGGGAGTGGGTGAGATTTCTGGGCTGCTGGAGGTAATCATGCAGTCAAACGTATCGACGTTCGTGCTGCCTGCGAGTGGTGGGATAGAGGGAGACTGTTGGGTTGTTTTTTTTTCTTGTCTCTCAAAGTACATCGAAGCTGCCTGACAGCACCAGCAATCAAAGTACTTTCCATTCTTCCAGGAGGTAAAATAAGAAAACCGGCTGAAAATAAGGTTCCCAGATATCTCAGTAAACATGAGATAAAAATCAGCGTGAGCCCTTCAGCCTCCTCTGTCAGCTCTCGGCTCCCTCCCGGCTTGCCGGCGGCCACATCCCTCACTGGCACACGTCCGGGCGCTCCCGGGGGGTGGGCTTGTGCCAAGTGACCCCAACCAAGGATTTTACTGCACAACCCGAAAGATGAGACATCTGCTTATTGGCTTTTGTGAGCTTTTTATTTATTAGCGCTTTTAGAAAGGGCTTGGAGGGCCTTGCATGCTAAGTGCAGAGGTAGGAAGAGGTTTTCTTATAACGTTTCCATCGGGATCTCTTGCTCTTGCATTTACTCCTCCAGCCCGGCTTGGCCGCGGTCGGGGGCGCGGGGTGTCCGTCTGTGTGTAACTCTGCCCCCTCCCCAGGTGAAGCCATGGGGAAGAGCAGTGTGGTCCCTTTGCCGTACGAGAGGTTCCTGAAAGAGCCAGGCTCACTGGCGGTGGCCGGCTTGCCCGAGGGGATCAGCTTTAAGAAACCCATGGAGTACGACGTGAAGTCCCTGATGGCCATCTTAGAGCACAGCCACAGCATCCGCTTCAGGCTAAAAAGGTAATTTTGGGGATCCCTGAAGGGGCGGGAGGGCAGTGAGCCCTCAGGATGGTGGCTTTTATAACGCCGGCTGATGGCAGAGATTCTGTGCAGAGCAGGCCGGGGGGGGGGTCCCTGCCATGTCCCAGCTTCTCCCCCAGACCCAGAAACCTGGGTCCAGCCGTGCCAAACCCAGCCTTGCATGGAGGTTCATCAGTGTTGGGTGGCTCAAGGCTGTTTCGAACTCGTTCCTATAATAAGCACGTGTAAACGTGTGCATTAACCGCATCGCTTTACGTGTCTCCGCCAAAATTTCCACTGCGGTAAGCTAAGTGCTTTTCTGTCTCTAGAGGGGTTTCCAGTGTAAATGCTGCAAGCTTCTTCTCAGGCTTAAATGGAGTTTTTAACGCCAGACGAGGAGGGAGGCAGGGGACCGCGGTGGGGCGAACTCCCCATTTTGGCCACGTTTTTGCAAGGGGCTCAGCGGTTTTGGGTGCGTTTTCTCTGCGTTTGCCTGGGTGGTGGCACCTCGGATCCATTCAGAGAAATGCTGAGCTCTACCAAATATCTCCTCTGAAGCCTCGGCACTTCTGGAAAATCAGGCTGAGACAGCTAAAAGAAGGGCATGCAGAATTCGAGCCGTCTCTGAGCTCGCAGCCGCCTGTCTCATGTGAAGCATGTGGGCTTCCTCGGTCTGAAGCTCATCCTTGGGCTGACTGAGGCCCCCCTCAACGTGCCGTGGGGGCTGGGACAGGCAATGGAGTCAAGTGGTTACAGTCACACAAATTGTTTGTCCCTTAAACACACTGGGCTGTGGAGCCGGGCGGCTTTGCCCTGGCTAATATAAATGCTTTGAACTACTGTAAGACCAACCTGCTCTACTTAAAGAAGACAGAAGCGGTGCAGGTGCCTGAAGAAGCTGGAAGAGGTTGGGTGATGGCTGTAATTTCTGAAACAAAGAGCCCGGCAGCGGGCAGTGCAGCGAGTCCCACCCTCCCGGGCACAGCTCTCCTTCCCCCTCCACATCCTTGCTTGTCCCGGCTTAGCAGTGCCACAGACCCAAAGGAACCTGTTTTTTCCCTCCTCTTTTCCCTTCATTACCCTCAGGCCGGCGGACGAGCCCAGCCGAGAGCCGAACCCCCGCGCCGAGGTGACT